CAGGGTGGACGAAATGATAATTTCCACGGATTTTCCATTGTGACTTTCAAGGAGAGCACTCAAAACTACAGCGCTACTTATTTGATACATATTAGTTGTAGACTTTTTATGAACGATAAAATGTTTGGCCACTTGCCAAGCGATTTTCATTGCCAAAACAATGGCACTGCGTATGGGATCTTTAGCGTGATTAAAGGGTTACTTTTTGCGGCACAGTTCTGAACACTTCACTTCGTTCAACGTCCGAAAATCTACAGAACTTGGCCTCCGTCCGAACTCTTTTTTTTCTGTCTGTAATCCGGCCTCACTGAACGAATTATGTTGTCGGCAGACCCCACTCTCCTCGTGCTCCTAGCCGTGAGGTGGAAGGAGGGAGGCTCATGGTCCGTTCACCCAATTTCAAAGCAACCTCTTGTATTCACTATTATTATGAAAAAGCCGCAGATGCCTCCCAGTAAGGATGGAACCTTTCTGCTTCCTCTTGTTAATACTCTTGTACTCTTAATATTACTCTAGTACTCTTAATATTTCCTTTTCCTTTTATAGTTGTAATTACGAAAGAAGAACTTGGTGCTAATGTAGTATTCGGTTGGCGAGGGGGGAGGGGGAAGGCAGCCAAGTTTGAGCCTTTGGTGCAAATCGAGGGCTTCGTGAGCTAGCGGGAACTGTGAGCAGTACAGAAGGAGCTCAGGGGGGACGAGTCCATGCGTGTAACTTGGAATGCGCGAGTTTACACGATCCCACGAAGAGCCGCACATACCGCGCGCCACAAATAAAACTTCTTTCTTCTCTAGTGAGACTAGTGAGAAGGACATTCCGGTGGGGAGCATTCAAAGCATTTGAAACCATTACAAATATTTCTTGTACTATGGAAGTCAGAAATTATTACCGAGCTCTGAGTAGGATATTCTCTCACAAGGGGAGGGGTTCACTCACTCTAAAGGACCGCCCTGAATAAATCATAAAAGCAAAAATCGTGACATCCTGCCACACAAACGTTTATTTGCAGTGTTTTGCACCACACACCATCTAGCATTTGGAAAAATGGATAAAAATAATAATAATAGAATGGATAAGTGTCAAAAGCAGCAATTCTCGTCAGCAGCAAAGGAGTTCTCGTATGAAGTTGGGATTGCTGTGTCATATATCACCGTACGGAAGAATATGGCACGAAAACACCCCCCTGTGATGGAGTCGACTTGATG